TTTTGAGGTTTATTAGAAAATGAAGGATAAATAGAGCATCTGTGTATTGGGACACTTCATGCACATTATTGTGGGAGATAGGTTATGTATTGAAAACTGTAGGATTGTCACAGCATACCTAATGAATCCTGCATATGGAAACTTCTAACCTTCACCTTCCGCTTGGCCTTTGATATCATGGCAGCCAGACATTTACCTTCCAAACAGAAGATTAGAAGACTTTTATCACTTATCTGAATTTGGCATGATGAGAGACCTAAATAAAGATGCTGACTCTGTCAGTTACTGACTTATTATTGCCTCCAAGTTCAAAACCTGCCCTTCTAGCCCTTCTTGTGATACTGGAGCTGGAAGCTCTGGAAACCACATTTCTTCCTTGACAGCTAGTCTGTGTTAGACTCTGCCAATAAAGGGGCATTGTAGGGAGACTACTAGGCTGGAGGTTGAAGAAAAGAGTTGATTCTTCCTATTTTTATTTTATACCACTGGCAAACTGCTCCGAAGACAGTTGGTTCCTGCAGTATTCCTTATGTCAGGCAGTGGTCTTGGTTCTGGTGAATGGCCTCTAGCATTTGTCACTGTGGCAGTGGTTAGCATGTTTTGCAGCAGCCCACTGTTCCTCAGAGATCTGTATCTTAGCCTTTTGGGACCCTTTCTATAAGTTGTTGTTGTTTAGTCGCTAAGTCGTGTCCAACTCTTTTGCAAACCCATGGGCTGTAGCCCCCCATGCTCCTCTGTCCATGGGATTTCCCAGGCAAGAATACTGGGATGGGTGGCCATTTCCTTCTCCAGGGGATCTTCCTGACTCAGGGGTGGAACCTGCGTCTCCTGTATTGGCAGGCGGATTCTTTAGTGCTGAGCCGTCTGGGAAGCCCCACTTGGGGATTACCCTAGAGTTTAAAACATGCATTCTTGGCTTACTAGGGTCTACCTTAAAGTTTTACTTATACCACTTCCAACAACGCATGAACTTTACAATGATTCAATTGCATTGACTCCTCTTATTACATTTGTACCACTATTGTCATATATTTTCTGTCTGTATTCATTTGTTTGCCCACATTTTTACCGTTTCCAGTGCTATTTCTTTCTTCTTTTCATGATTCCATCTGGGATCACTTTCTTTTTACTGTAAGTACTCCTTTTAGTAATTTTTTTTAGTGCAGGTTTGCTGCACATTCATTCAACTTTTGTTTATATGAATCTGTTTTTAAATTTGTCATCATTTTAAAGGGTATATTTTCTCTAGGTGTAGCATTCTAGGTTGATGAATATTTTCTTTTAGCATTTTAAGGATTTACTTCATTAATTTTTGATTTCCATCATTTCTGTTGAAAAGTCACTATATTGTTATTATAGGTCACCTAAAGGTAATGTGACTCTGCCTAGCTCCTTAGCTTCTTAGTGGCTTCAGAAAGCTGGGCTTCTTAGAAATTTTCCCTGAATTACCACTGTAGGAATTGGGCAGTCCCATGAGTGGATATTGTATTGAGTAGCTCTCAGTGTCAACCTCTTTTTCCTTAACTCAATGGAACCCTGATTTTTGCTGAAATGTCCTCTTGGGGAAACTCAGCTGATGTGGATTCTCATTTCTCAAGGATTATAGTGCCTCATATCTTGTCTCAGATAGTTGCTGTCCATTGCTCTTACACAATTGTTTCCTGCATTTTTTTCAGGTTTATATTTGTCTAATGTGAAATGTTTTGCCAGTGCTAGAACCAGAAGTTAGTAAATGTATTTTATATATATTTGAATTCTAAAAGAGTTTTTAAAATGTCTTATTCAATGGCAGTATTATTGAAACTTGTTTATGGTTCTCCATAAACTTATGGAGAACCATAAGCTTAAAGGAGCAGTAACTCATTTGGGAATACAATTTCTCAATTTTTAATGTCCATTTATTTTAATGTCCATTTATTTATTGCCAATTACTATCTTTTATACTTACTGCACATAAAGATTTAAAATAGCATTAAATTATTTTGTTTGCAAGTAATACACAAGGTTTTTCTTTACCAGTTTGCAGTGAAATAATAGAAAGAGGATTTTGAATGTTGACCTTTTGAATAATTAAGTCCCCCAATTTTGGGGCTGAATTCTCTATAAATTTCTTTTTTTAATGTAAGTGGTTGATACTTTCTTCCATGCCTATTAGTTATATAATTGGAAAGAGGATAAAGAGTTGGATGGGCTGTGCATATTTTTATTGATATACTAAAGAAAAAGTTAGTATTTTTAGAAGATTGTAGATCTTTCTTTTGGTCCTTGACTTTACAGTTGGTTCCTTTTCTAAAGTGAATCTCTATGCAGATCTGCCATTCATAATGAGTGATAATTTTTTAACATTATTTTTAATCATGATATGGAATGAAATAGAAATTGTGCCTGTTGTCTACTTGTCTCTAATTCAGGGATGAGCAACTGTTAGCCCTGGGATGGGAGTGAGAATGAACACATTTGCCTTTTTTCCCTTTTGCCAGACAGTGAAGAATATGTTATACCTTTGAAATAAAAAGTTTGAAACTTCCTATTGAAGGGTACTTTTTGTTGGACTTCATTTGATGCTTTTGATCTAGCTTGATTGGTTTGCACCCGGAATCTTTGTAAAGGCCTGCTGATTGTTGACTGTCACATGGCCTGAATTATATAGAGGCTTCATTCTTTTGGGTTAACACTGCTAACACTGTTCTGTAGCCTCTCTGTCAGCAGCAATTGTAGTGGTACTGTTGGCTCTTTTTGATAGTATAGCCTTACTTACATTGGGAAGGGCATTTCACAATCTAAATAACGATGCATATTTAACAAAGTGGTATTCAGCTGTGTTTTGAGACTATAGATGTGAAAATGCCTGGCACAGGGACAGGTGATCACTGTTTTTTTGTCTGTGTGTTTAAATCATTGTAGCTTCCAGATGAATTAACCTTCAGTATGTGTATTTACACACAGGATTCAGAATATTTTCTCTTAATTTGTGTTTCCTTTCTTACTGATTGCTTTTCTAACCTAATGGTGTTAAATTTTTAGAAGTTTCTTTTTTTTTTTTTTAAAGTCAGGCTTGAACTGACTGTTTAATTTATACACCAAGTATGTTTATACACCAGTTGTGGAAGGTGTAATCATCCAGAGTTAAGCTGACAAATGTAAACACTTAGATCTGTCTCATTTCATTCACAGGGTAAGTACTCACTGAGCATTTATTTAGTGGCAGTAAGCACAAATACACACCAGTGTCCTGCTTTTCTGTTTCTGTGACAATATAGTGTTCTCAGTTCTGTTTTTTTGTACATTAATTGCCTTTAAACAGTATGTAATGTTTTCTCTCAGTTTTATTATCTTTGAGAGTATAGTGAATCCCTAGCTGTCTTTCTAAAATCTAGTGTTTGCTTCCTGCTTTTCAGTCTAATGTGGTCATATATATATATATATTTTTAATGTGGTTATATTTTATTTAAAAATCTATTTCCTGTACTTTTTCCATTTCCTTTGTGAAATAATTGCTTAAATAGAATACACTTTGAGTAACTCCTGAATTAAAATCCCTATGATTCCAGTATAAAATAGGACTTAACATTACATCTCAGTTAGAAATTTTTTTGTTTATTACCTGACTTTTTAATCATATTTTACAAAACAGCATTTTTAGACTAAGTTTGTGATATTTTAAAGATAGACTTTTTGGATATACGTATTTGAATTGTCTTAACTTTACCGGTACAGAATTAAAAATTTTAGGTAAGATTAGCATTGAACATTTGTGTATTTATTTTTTCGGCTGCACTGGGTCTTTCTTCCTGCCCACGGGCTTTCTCTAGTTGTTGTGAACGGGGGCTCCTCTCTAGTGGTGGGGTGTTGGCTTCTCACTGCGGCGGCTTCTCTTGTTCTCAAGTGCTGGCTCAGCGGCTGTGCACGGGCTTAGTTGCCTTGCAGCACATGGGATCTTTCTGGGCTAGGGATGGAAACTGTCCCCTGCGTTGGCAGGTGGATTCTTGACCACTGGACCAGGGAAGCCCTTTATATATTTGTCCTGTTTAAGATACTATAAAGTGTCCTGCTGGTAAGGTTATCACTTTAAAAAAGTGAAGATAGTGAGACTTTCAGGTATAAATTGAGTTATTCAAATTTATGATCTCAGCTGTTGTACTAAACAGAAATAAGGATATTTCTTCTTTTATTGTTTGTTATGATTTCAGGGGAGAAAAGTTGATTCTTTTCCTCTTTGTTGTGAGTCTTAAAGGTTAATACATGAAATTAACTCAATTTCAGTACATGGAATAGTAAGCTCTCAGTTAATAATAGTTATTATCAACAATCTCCTCTTTCTTTTTTTATTTATATTCCTCCTTTAAATATAACTCTTGGCCTCCTCTTCTATTCACTGGAATTATTTCCTCTTAAACCCAAGTAGAGAAACTATAGCAAAACTCTGAAAATAATAGATTGAATTTGAAAAAAGTTGCAAAAAATTTTCCTTTCTCTGAAAACTATTTTTATTGTGTAATTGAAACTTTGACTGTTATTACTGTGTATGAATGGTAAGAGAGGATAAATGAAGTGTTGCTGTCAACTTTAGTGGCTGGAAAGCCAAGAAATGAGAGTAGTGTAGTTCAGTGCATGGGAGATTCAGGGAGACAAGGAGATAGAAAGTCAGGGCTGCACTCTCCTTTATCTGCCACCAAAAAGCGATATGATTTTGACATTTTCTTATCCTGTAACAGTTTCATCTGGGAGTTTCCAAGGAGTTGAATATGTGTCCTCTGAAGTATTTTCTAATTTTTTTTTGTCTTTTTCAGTTGAAAGGATGTTGTGTCTTTGATGAAAATTGGAAACGTTATATTTTATTGTAAGATTGCTTCTTTTGGAGTAAACTATGCTTAATAAAGGCATAAAGTGCCTAAAACTTACTAGAAAGTTTTGCATTAAATAATTATCCTAAAAATACTCATGTCTTCCATAGAAAATGACAACAATATGATTTTAATCTTTTGTATGCTTTGTTTTAGGTTGGTATAGGGGAGTTTCAACAAAGAAGCCAAATGTAAAGGTAATAAAAAGTTTATTGTTACCTTTTCTAATGTAGAAAGTGGCCTAGTGTGTTTGTTTGATATAAAAGCAATCCTTACCTTCCATCTTTCAATCTTTTACAGTAGCCACACACATTCTTTTCTTTACAGAACTGTATCAGACTCTTCTGTTTCTCAACAGTATTACAATGACTTTTTAAAAAGGACAAAATGTGTGTGGTAATAGTTGCAAAGCTTATTTTGAAAAAGCCAATTTAGGACATTTAGTATTTTTCCTTAAAATAGTTGACAGCAAGTAAATTGGCTTTTTTATAGGCCTACTCCTGTCTAGCCCTGTGATTAGTAAGATGACTTTATTTCTAAAATGAAAAAAACTTTTAAATAATTTTCAATTAGATACGTCTCTGATCATAATGTTCTTGTTAAAATATGAATTTAAATAAGACTGTTAAGTGCCACATGCTAATTTTATGAACTAGATTTATGTTTATTCTATTACCAAGTAACAGTAATTTGATCATACCAAATATATTTTAGTTGGCAGTTATAATACATGTAGCAGCATTCTTTTTCAGTAATGCATTTGCAAAACCTTCTTTTTTGCATTTGCAAAAACTTACTTTTCTCTATAATATTACGATTTTTTCTTATGTATTTTCTGTGGCTTAATATTTAACATATTATGCTTTTTCTTAAATAGAAAATACCAAAATGATCACATATTAATTTTTATTAAAAATTTTCAGAGTTGTAATCATCAATTTCTCAGTAGAATCACTTATTAGTTTTTAAAGTAGTGATTATAAGAAGCCAATACCTTCAAACTTTTAATTCCTCATAGCCAGGGCTTCTCATTTTTGTCAGAGTTGACATTTTGGGCTAGATAAATCCTTGTTATCTTATACATTATGAGAAGTTTAGCAAAATATATGACTTCCACTCATTAACATCTCCTCTCAAGTTGTGTCTCTAGATATTGCTAAAGGCCCTGGGGCTAATGGGTGGGGTGGGAGGTGGTTGGGGTAGTAGTGGTAAAATTGCCACTGGTTAAGAACCACTGAGATAAAGGGGTCATATATCAAGAAGATATAACAGTAATAAATATGTGTACACTGGAAATGGCGCCCCCGAATATATTAAGCAAATAGTAATAGATTTGAAGGGAGAAGTAGATACCAATACAATAATAATAGGGGCCTTCAGTACCCCATTTTCTGCACTGAATAGGTCATCCAGATAGAAAATCAACAAGGAAATGTTAGACTTGACTGTAGTTTAAACCAAATATATCTAATAGACATATATAGAATATTTCATATGTCAGCAATGAAGTACATGTTCTTCTCAATTGTAAATGGAACATTCTTCAGACTAGGTCATATAACAAGGCTTTAGTAAATTTAAAAAGATTGAAATCACACCATGTATCTTTCCTGACCACAATGGTATGAAACTAGAAATCAACAACAGCAAGAAAACTGGAAAATTCACATGTATGTAGAAATTAAAGAACACATTCTGAACAACCAGTGGACCAAAGAAGAGATTAAAAAAAAATCTCAACACAAATGAAAACAGAAACACAATACCCCAAAACCTATGGGCTACTGCAAAAGCAGTTTAAAGAGGGAAGTTAATAGTGATAAATGCCTACAGTAAGAAAAAAAGAAAGATATTAAATAAACCATCTTACTTTACATCTGAAGAAGCTGGAAAAAAAGAAGAAACTATGCCCAAATTTAGTAGAATCAAGAAAGTAACAAAAACCAGGGTGGAAATAAATGAAAAAGAGACCAAAAAACAAGGGAAAAGGTCAATGAAACTATAAGCTGTTTCTTTTTAAAGATAAAATTAACATAGGGGGGGAAAAAGACAAGGAGAAATGAAAGCGCAGACATTAAAAATGATACCATATACATATACACCATGGAATATTACTCAGCCATTAAAAAGAATTCATTTGAATCAGTTCTAATGAGATGGATGAAACTGGAGCCCATTATACAGAGCGAAGTAAGCCAGAAGGATAAAGACCATTACAGTATACTAACACATATATATGGAATTTAGAAAGATGGTAACGATAACCCTATATGCAAAACAGAAAAAGAGACTCCGATGTATAGAACAGACTTGTGGACTCTGGGAGAAGGCGAGGGTGGGATGTTTCAAGAGAACAGCATCAAAACATGTATATTATCTAGGGTGAAACAGATCACCAGCCCAGGTTGGGTGCATGAGACAAGTGCTCGGGCCTGGTGCACTGGGAAGACCCAGAGGGATCGGGTGGAGAGGGAGGTGGGAGGGGGGACCGGGATGGGGAATACATGTAAATCCATGGCTAATTCATTTCAATGTATGACAAAAACCACTGCAATGATGTAGAGTGATTGGCCTCCAACTAATAAAAATAAATGGAAAAAAAAATAAATGTTATCATATAAAAAAAATGATACCACAGAAATACAAAGGATAATGAAACTGCTATGACAATTGTATGCTAACAAATTAAACAGTCTATAAGAAATGGATACATTTCTAGAAACTTAAAACCTATCCAGAATGAATCAGGAAAAATGGAAAATCTGAATAGTCCAATAATCAGTAAGGAAATTGAATCAGTAATTATTAAAAACCTCCCAACAAAGAAATGTTCAGGGCCAGATGACTTCACTGCTGAATACTACTAAACTTTCAAGAAGAATTAACACCAGTCCTTCATAAAAGCTATTCCAAAAATTGAAGAGGAGGGGACACTTCCAGATTTGTTTCGTGAGGCTAGCATTAGTCTGATATCAAAGCCAGAAAAGGACACTGTAGGAAAAGAAAACTACAGATCGTTATCACTGATGAATATAGATGCTAAACTCTCAACAAAATACTAGCAGTATAAAACGGTCCCATTCATGATAGCATCAAACAATCAAGTATTTAGAAATAAATATAACCAAGGAGCTGAAAGATCTGTACACTGAAAACTGTAAAATGCATATTGTAGTCCAACTGCTGATGGGCTTGTGTGGCGTAGATTGAGTTTATTACTGACAGGGGTGTGGGCCAAAGAGTATTAAAAAAGTAGACCATTTGTGTTTTATTTTGAAGGAAGTTTTATACATCAGGAAAAGGAGTGAAACATTGATTGGAAAATGTAATTGTTTCTGAAACAATACATTTTTTAAGAATTGAAATCAAATTATGGCAGATACCAAAGTGGAAACCATTTGCAAAGAGTAAAAAAAGAAACATTTATAGACGCTCTCAAATTGATTTATTCTTTGTGAATACAAATGTTAACCAGAGTGTGAGAATTCTTTCTTTAACTCAGAGCTGGGTGAGTGTAAATTGTTGGTTAGATGATGATGTTGGTTTTGTAGATATATGCCAAACTCTGTACATAAGTCTATTCTATCTTAAGTGTGATTTGATGGAATATTTCTAAAACTTAAAAAAGTTTTTGTGGTTGCTTAACATCAGTTTTCGCCCCTTGTGAATAGACTCTGATTGCGAATGACAATGAAATTCCTGTTGAATATAGTTTGTGCAACTTTGTATTCTTAATTAATATGTAAAGTGGTTGCTACGTGAAGAGATCTACTGTTTTGTTGATAGAGTATTTCCATACTGAAATCTGACTGTTATTTCAGTCTAAATGAGATGTTAATCACAAATTACTTTTTCTAATAGGAAATCTAATCTCTTTTACAGGGGATCTTTCCTGCAAATTACATTCATTTGAAAAAAGCAATTGTCAGTAATAGGGGGTGAGTAGTTGGCTTTGCTAAACTTATTTATAATTTTTATTGGCTGCAGAGGAAGACTTTCCTTTGATTCATAGTATAAAATATGCTATTGGTATGTTTTCCTGCAAAAATATACTTTATCATATATAATTCTGAAGATATAATTTTATCTTAAAATATTGACAATTTTAATTTCTTTTCCTATATACTGGAAAGGTAACCTGAGTTGTTATGAATTTCATAAAAACAGTTAAACATGCAGTATATTTTACAAAATGATGTGTTATTTTGAGAATAGTCTTTGATAGGATAGGAGTTAGTGATAAACCTGTCATTTTGTTTCTGTGTATGAAAAGTGAGGGAGACTTTTAAAATCTTCCCTTTTTTGCAAGTTGAAATTGAAAAAAACTATGGAAATGGCAACAACCCACTCCAGTATTCTTACCTGGAGAATCCCATGGACAGAGAAGCCTGGTGGGCTACAGTCCGTAGGGTCACACAGAGTTGGACATGATTGAAGTGACTTAGCACACATGCACACATAAAGGCATACCTTAAGGATAAAATAATAGTGTATATAATGGATATGTAGTTTAGTCACAAAATTATGAGACAAAAGCAATTGTTGAATAAAAGAGAATCAAGATGTAATTATATCAAAATGTTAATATCAGTTGCTTTTGCATTTTCAAATTGTGGGTGATTTTAAAAAATTGTTTACTTTTAATGCCTTATTTTAAAAACTAATACATATTATAGGATTGTGATTTTATTTTTAAAAATTAAACATCATTTTAAAGATGCTGTTTAACTATGATAGCTTTGGGGACTAGAAATTATGTTTTTGACCAGAGGTTGAGCTAGCATTGGAGTATCCTTCTGGTAATAAGTTAGGATTTAGTCAGGAAAAGAGAAACTTGTGAGTCATTTCATAAAATAGAATTTAACATAGGGAATTTTAGACACATATTTGGAAAAGACCCTGATGCTGAGAAAGACTGAAGGCAGAAGAAGAGGGCAACAGAGGATAAGATGGTTGGATGGCATCACCAATCCAGTGGCCATGAACTTGGGGAAACTCCAGGAGATGATGAGGGACAGGCAGACCTGGAGTTCTGCAGTCCATGGTGTCACAGAGAGTTGGACAGGAATTGCTGACTAAACAACAACAACAAGAACTTTGAATAGTGAAAGAAAAAAAGGAAGAAATACAGGAATAACACAAAATAATCACTGCAGTAAAGCATTCTGTACTCTGATACCTGGGAATACAAAAGATAAAGGTTGGGGATACCAGAACCCAGAAACTGTAAATATTTTAAGATATATATTATATCTTAAGAAAAAGTACATTCTCTAACATAATCACAGAATAATTATGACACTCAGGAAATGTAACATATATATAATAGTTCAGTACAGTCACTCAGTCATGTCCGACTCTTTCGAGATCCCATGCACTGCAGCAGCATGCCAGGCTTCCCTGTCCATCACCAACTCCTGGAGCTTGCTCAAACTCATGTCTGTTGAGTTGGTGATGCCATCCAACCACCTCATCCCCTTGTCCCCTTCTCCTGCCTTTAATCTTTCCCAGCATTGGGGTCTTTTCAAATGAGTCACTTCTTCGCTTCAGGTGGCCAAAGTATTGGAGCTTCAGCTTCAGCATCAGTCCTTCCAATGAACACCCAGGACTGATTTCCTTTAGGATGGACTGGTTGGATCTCCTTGGAGTCCAAGGGATTCTCAGGAGTCTTCTCCAACATCACAGTTCAAAAGCATCAATTCTTCAGCACTCAGCTTCGTTTATAGTCCTGCTCTCACATTCATACATGATTGCTGGAAAAAGCATAGCTTTGACTAGATGGACCTTTGTTGACAAAGTAATGTCTCTGCTTTTTAATATGCTGTCTAGGTTGGTCATAGCTTTTCTTCTCAGGAGCAAGCATCTTGTAATGTCATGGCTGCAGTCACCATCTGTGGTGATTTTGGAGCCCCCCCCAAAATAAAGTCTGTCACTGTTTCCATTGTTTCTCCATCTATTTGCCGTGAAGTGATGAGACCGGATGCCATGATCTTCTTTTTTTGAATGTTGAGTTTTAAGCCAGCTTTTTCACTCTCCTCTTTCACTTTCATCAAGAGGCTCTTTAGTTCTTCTTCACTTTCTGCCATAAGGGTGGTGTCATCTGCATATCTGAGGTTATTGATATTTCTCCTGGCAGTCTTGATTCCAGCTTGTGCTTCATCCAGTCCAGCATTTCTCATGATGTACTCTGCATATAAGTTAAATAAGCAGGGTGACAATATATAGCCTTGACATACTCCTTTCTCGATTTGGAACCAGTCTGTTGTTCCATGTCCAATTTTAACTGTTGCTTCTTGACCTGCATACAAATTACTCAGGAGGCAGGTTAGTTGTTCAGGTATTCCCATCTCTTGAAGAATTTTCCAGTTTGTTATGATCCACACAGTCAAAGGCTTTGGCATAGTCAATAAAGCAGAAGTAGATGTTTTTCTGAAACTCTCTTGCTTTTTTGATGATCCAGCGGATGTTGGCAATTTGATCTCTGGTTCCTCTGCCTTTTCTAAAACCAGCTTGAACACCTGCAAGTTCACAGTTCACATACTATTTAAGCCTGTCTTGGAGAATTTTGAGCATTACTTTTTTATCATACTATAAAATATATAGTCCAAATCCAAATGTCCCTAATCATCCCATGAATATTCTTTATATCTGTTTTCATTTGGTTGGCTTTTTGGGGGTTGGGTGGGATATGGTTCAGGATCCAGTCAAGAATTAAATATTATATTTCAACTTTGTCAGCAGCTCTCTAGGCTTGGTTTTCTTTTTCGTTTTTATGCCATTGACTTTGGTGAAGTGCCAGGCCAGTTGTTTTGCAAAATGTCCCTCAGTTTGTGTTTGTCTGTTTCCTTATGGTTAGATTTGACTTAAGCATCTTAGATAGCAGTACTGCATAGGTGGTGTTGTGGATTCAAATGGTCAAATTTCTCCTGGATGTCTTCTTAGTGCTTGTTTAGATCAGCAAGACGGGGACTTCGGGTTCTCCCTTAGCAAATATCAACCAGGAATTGAGGGTCTTTCAGTCAGAGAACATGCATTGTGTTTCTATCATGTGCCTTCTTCCTTGCTTCTTGCTGTACTGTGAGGGGTATAACTGTACTTTCAGTGCTCTATAGGGTATATCATCTGCTTCTTGAGAAATTTGTGCGATCTTTACTGAAGTACTTGTTGTTTTGTTTGATTGACAAGGAAGTGAAATTGTTTGAATACTCTTATCTGTGAAAATATTCTTGTGGGAACTTTAAAAATTTTAATATTTTCAGTTATCTTCCTAAGTGTTTCTTGATACCTGGATTTTCTCACTTGTAAAATGATTCAAGTATTATTGTTGCTTTTTATAAAGTTTCACTGAAAAACTTACACATTTGTAGTAAATTAGAGGATTTTAGGGCTGATAAAGAAAAAAGACATGACCATGAGATGGTAGCAGCACATAATGGGCTTTTATTTAGACAGAGCTCTGACAAGTTGCAAAGGAAATTCCATCTCAGCAGACCTTTCAGAGACAGCAGTGCCAGGCCACAACCAGAAGGGGAAAAGTATACTTGAATTCTTTGGGGAGAGGAGTACCAGAGAGGGAACTCATGTGTCTGGATCGTATTACTCATTTGCAAGATGGTACGTCTCTGGTTCAGAGAGCACCTCAGGACAACAGCAGCTTGGAATCTTTTATAGCCCTAAGGCTTATCTTATCTATGGCTGGCAAACACTGAGTGCAGTTTGGTTAAGTATGTGATGGTCAGTGGAGTCCACTGTAAGGAACCTGCCTAACGGTGTTGGCTAATCCACTTGGTGTGTGGTACCATATCGAAGTCTCAGGGTTACCCACTGCTACTGGCCAGTTCTGATTCCACAGTTATGGTACTGTTACTGAACTGAACCTTGGTCTGCCCATGTGCAGTAAAGCCAATCTACTAACACCAGATTGTGGTGAAGGAAATGCAGCATTTATCACAGGGCGCCAAGCAAGAGGTCCAGGTAGCAAGTGCTTAAAAGGGCTGAACTACCTGAAGGCTTTCAGAGAAGAGTTTTTGGACAGGGTGAGGGAGGGGGGTTCTGGGGTGTGAGCAGTTCATGGATAGTCCCCTGAATGGTTGGTGGTGAGATAATCAGGAGTCAACATCATCAACCTTCTGGTTTCAGCCTGTCTGGGGTCTGCCTGCTTGTGAGCAGCATGAGGTTAACTTCTTCCATCTGGTAGGGGTTTCAGTCTCTGCAACAAAGGATATGGCTCATATTATTATCTATAATGCTTGAGGAGGAACTAAAGGTCCTTGAGTTTGTTTTAACGGCTGAACTATTATTAACTTGTCTTGCTTGACTGTTTTCCTTTATTTCTGTATTTTCTCACTTGTCTGATTAAACTTACTCTTTGGAATTCAGGAGGACTTAGGAGGCTAAAGGACTCTTGACAAGAGTCAGGCAGAGGACATTGTGGAGTTGAGGGCAGCATTCTGTTCTGGGAAGACCCTATAGGGTCCTGCTTGGTTCAGTACCAGATCAGTCTTGAGTAAAACTCCATGGAGCTGATCTCAAGAGCAGCTCCTGGATCTTACACCACATTCATCTTGGAGTGGCTAGGAAAGGAAGCAGATCAAATTCATGGGACATTGGGGATAGTTGGTATAAGACATTTTTGTAAATTGGCTTGCTCTGCAAGATTACTCATTTGAGTGAGCCAATCTGAAAGCCTTGAAGCAAGGTAGGAACACCCTCATCACAGTAGAGAAGAAAGGCCTTTTTCTGCTGCAAAAGGAGGTTTCGTAGGAGCAAAACTTAGGGTCGTTTGTGTTATCCAGTGTCTCTACTATCTCTACCATTTTTGTCCAAGTCAGTAACCTGCTTTTTTGTCTTAATATAGATATAAAGGCCATAAATTCAACTGACCTTGTAATTCAGAAATGATCAGGATCAAAACTAGAGTTTGTTTTTTGGCTATCTG